TCCGAGGACACTCTGTGGTCATCCAGTGACAGTTAACTCTCTCTGTCCCCGGCCTCTGCTTGGCCGGTCACCTCGGAGTGGCTTGTCACTCACACACACAGCACCGGGTCCCCCAGACACCGACCACCTGCACCAGCCATGCCTGTGCGCCCATACATATGGCTCACCCCCAATGCTCGACTCAAACCACATCATCCTGCTCATTCTCACCACATCCTTCTCCTTTTTTTTCTGCAACCCTTTTTACTTCTGAACAAGAGTCATAGAACAGTTGTTAAAAACCAGGAAAAAAGAAAATCTAGTTGTCCAACAACAGGGTTAGTTAAAAACTCATGGCTAAATGAGTCACGGTTCATTAATACAACGGGATACTATTCAACTAATAAAAAACGATGATACCACCACATATTTTTAAGAAAAAAAGATACAAAATAGGTTTCCTTGAGTCAAGCATGCCCCTGATGATGGTATCAGCTATCAGTCTGTAGTTTATAGAATCCTGGTGGATTTCCATTTTCTTCTTTTTTTGCTTATGAGTATTGGACGATCTTTTAAAATAAATATGTATTTGGGGGAAACAGAAAACGTTAGAAATAAAACAATTTCAAACTGGAATATTAAAAAATGGATCTGGTTTTTCATACGTATTGAGCCTCAAAACCTGTGTGTGCCCCACCAGGTTGGGTTTGCTCTATCTGCATTGCTGTAATGTGGTGTATGTTAGCGTGTTGTGTAGCATTGTATCATATCCCCAAAACAGCAGCCGTCACAAGACCTTGGATGAGGGTGCACTTGGTCTCTGGGTAGGGCAGCATCATGATTCTCAGGGAGCCATGGGCTGGAGAAGTAGGGAATTGGCCACCTGAATTACCGTACTGCCCTGTACCGAAAGCTACAGCTTATGCATCTAAATGAGGTCCAAGATTAATGGTTTTCAGACATTTAGCAGAAGAACCATTTTTTTTTTTTTTTTTTTTTTCCCAAATGAAATCTGACACAAACCAATGCTGTGCCGATGTGGTTCAGGTAGGAATTGGAGCACCAGTGACTCTGGTTAAGCTTCCCCTTTCTGCCCACGGACCCCTACAAATCCGCTCCGTAGGTTTCCAAAGTTTACTACTTGAGAAACAAACAGTGGCTGGCTTTAAGAAGGCAGCTTTCACCTCAACAATAGATTTTTCCATTCAGACTGTGAAATCCAACTGGTTATTTTTGCCAATTTATTACATGCAGTCCTGAGTTTCTTTTTTTTTTTTTTTTTTAATTTTTTTTTTCAATGTTTATTTTTGGGACAGAGAGAGACAGAGCACGAACGGGGGAGGGGCAGAGAGAGAGGGAGACACAGTTTCGGAAACAGGCTCCAGGCTCTGAGCCATCAGCCCAGAGCCCGACGCGGGGCTCGAACTCACGGACCGCGACATTGTGACCTGGCTGAAGTCGGATGCTTAACCGACTGCGCCACCCAGGCGCCCCTGCAGTCCTGAGTTTCTTAAGGCCCAATCTTCCTTCTGTGTAGAAAGCCTTCTTCACCATATCTGCCTAAACTCCTACAAATCCCAGATATTCCCTTTAGTATTTTTCTGACCTCCGACACCTTAGATAAAATGAAATATTTCTTCACATGTAGCCCCATAGTACTTTAACTATGATACTCTATTCTACCACTTATAACATGGTGCTTGAGGCAGGCTTAGGCTGTTCAAGTGAGTCCCTACAGGTAGAACTGAAACTTTGCATCCAACCATTGACTTGTTTGTGTGTCCGTTTGCATTCGCGGGTTTTTATGGAGGTTAAGGAATCTCTGGGTGGGGGCAAAGGGAACCTAATAGTGATCATGATTTGGGGTTCAGACAATATAGATTAAGAATGATGTAAGGAGAAACTAGGATATTTCCTGGGAGGCAAGTCATAGCAGGACGAAAAGTGTTTAGGACACAGAGTCAGGCAAGAGTGGTGGGAAAACAGTGGGCCAAGTTGTTTGTGTGTAACGATGATGAATGGAAAAAAAGCAGGAGCGATGGAATATTCAGCAGTCTGGACCAATAAATGAGACCACAGGAGACTCACCTCAGTTCTGGGAGAGGGAACAATATGGAAGAGGAAGAAAGATGGGGGCCCAGTCATTCACTGGTTGGGACTGAGCTAACAAAATTCAAATAGAAATACCCACACACTAATATGAGCTGGGGACATTCAGGCGATACACTGTATTCTTACTATTTGTTCCCAAGACTGGGACTTGCCATTATTAGGTATGACGTCTGCGAGACTGCCATGCCTCAGAGACCTAGGTACCAGAAAATATTCCCGTGTGAGGCGCAGGCTATGTGAAATAATGCATGGACACGTTCTGACATGATCATCACTTGATACTGAGATATTTCAACTGGTAACAGAAAGTTAGTGGAAAGGCCTCCTTGATCCCGTTAAGACTGCTTTAAGCATGAGCACCTTTTTTTAAAATATAGAATAACTTGTATTTAAAATTTTAGTAAAGGCAAAGCTACACAAAGATCAAGCTTCTGTAGCTTGGAATTAAGGCGGATGGGATGGCACAAGGGGGTCCACAAATCCAAGCACTGCAGATTACCTTAGTTTCCTCTACTATAGGATCATGGCTGTTACAAGTTGACCGATGGGTATGCCTTTCAAACTCTCTGGACCGAGCACAATATATTACCTTTCCCAACCTTTTCCAAAGGGAGCCAAATGTTTTTAAAGCTCGTTCACCACCCACCCCTACCCAACCTCTTGGATTCTAAAGTACCACATGCAACAACAGCATATTTCTAGCCTACTGGTTTATGTTCAGACTTATGTATTACAATTCACATGTTTATGACTTTATGTATTAAGTTCCAGAGGATAAATGATAACACTCCCTAAATTCAAAGCTCACATAATCCATTTTGTTAGTATGCATGTTTAAAATGACTAAAGGGGACTATTTGAGTTCAAAAGCTTGTACAAAAATTAAATGCATGTATAATTAATATTTGCAAAGGTGTTTTGAGTGAATGCTAGTTTTTTAAAGTGGGACGTTATTAAAGGGTAGAGCTATTCAACCAGACATTAGCCCGCTCAAGTTTGGGCAGTGAAGAGCTCAAGAAGGAGGCTCTTCAAATAAGAAAAAGCAATTGTATAAAACGTTCTTGGGTCTTATCTCCAAGACTGACTTCTTTGGGGTTTTCTTGTTTTAATGCTCAGTGTCATTGTCATTTCTGGATACAGAGAAAATTCTCCTTTAACAACCAAACTCATCACTTAAAATATAACTTGTTCCAAAAAATGTAACGTACATTTTTAATTTTAATTTTTTATTTCAGAGATAGAGCGAGAACAGGGGAGAAAAGCAGAGGGGGGGGAGAGAGAGAGAGAGAGAGAGAGAGAGAGAGAGAGAATCCCAAGTGGGCTTCACACTCAGCATGGAGCCCAATGCAGTGCTCGATCCCACCACCCTGGGATCATTACCTGAGCCAAACCAAGAGTCGGACTCTCAACCCACTGATCCCAGGTGCCCTTACATGTACATTTTTTTAAAAAGAGAATGTTCATGGGGCGCCTGGGTGGCTCAGTCGGTTAAGCGTCCGACTTCGGCTCAGGTCACGATCTCGCAGTTCGTGAGTTCAAGCCCCGCGTCGGGCTCTGTGCTGACAGCTCAGAACCTGGAGCCCGTTTCAGATTCTGTGTCTCCCTCTCTCTCTCTGCCCCTCCCCCGTTCAGGCTCTGTCTCTCTCTGTCTCAAAAATAAATAAACGTTAAAAAAAAAAAGAGAGAGAATGTTCACTAAGAACTTATACAGAATGTTCACATTAACATGGAAGGTTATTAACACGGAAGAGTTTTTAAAAACAATCCATTTTCAAGATAGGTTTGCATTGAGAAGGAATCTAGAGAAGTAGCAAACAAAGTGGCAATTCCCAAATCTCCTCAGTTTGAAATAAATACACTGGACTCTGGAGGGCAGATGTAACTTGAGGGTACCTTTTCCTCATTAGATGGCCACTAGCTGCCTGCCACTTTAGCTACCTTGTCACCTGTGTTATGTTAAACATAACAACCATCATCTCCCACCTAAGGACAAAGTGAAAAATATGAAGCTCAGAATCTCAGATTTCCTGGTGGCCTCCAACTCAGCTTTATTTTTCAATTTGAGGAGTAAGAGTGACCGGAAGGGTGGTGGCTCATGACCCATAAGTTATTCTCTGGTCTTTTCCTTCCTGGAGGTAGGAATCATCTCTATTACTCTCCAGAATTCCCCTGTGACTCACTCGCTTTAACCCATCCACCCCACCAGGAAGTGATTCGACAAAACCTACCCATTTCACATATAAAATCTTGGTCATCCAATAACGATAGCATACACATATTATAAATTAAGCACAGATACTATCACATGAAATTAAGTGAAAGTTGAAGAAATTTAAGACCAACTGAACAAAATATTCAATTAACAAAGTATCGTTTTTTGGTTTTTTTTTTAAGACCAACCTATATTTAGTTTTGACTGATCCCTTTGGAGGAATGTGGTATATCTTGGTTTTGGTAGTGTGATCTTTAGCCTTTTGACAATCTACAATTAAAGACACATAATTCTCTAGGACATAACTTCAGTAGTCACATTAATTTCTATCAAAGATATCCAAAACTATATTTATTCATCTAAACTGAAAGGTTTTAAGAAGGTTTCTAAAAATCTAAATCTATAATAATTTACTTAGATTATTTTCTTGCTAGAGTAAACATTAAGGTTTTTCTTATTAAATATTTGCTAAGTTTATTAATTTATCAGTACTACCAAAATACAAATAAGAATAACTATTTAGCTATCAAAGTAGTTTTTAAAATAATTATATTTAGATATCTTCATTTCTAATCTTCTAACTGTAATGTTAGAGGTAAGAAAAGGTATCATTAAACATGTCAACAGATAACTGGGCGACAGAAAGGTAAACAGTATGTCAAACTTTTAAAAATATTACATTTAAAAGAATACTTACAATTTTGCCACCTTCTAAGAGAATATATCCTGAGTTTTTCAATAATATCCACCACAATCAAGGAAGTCAGAACCAGAGAAACTGGCAGATCAGGTAAGGTATCAGGTAAGGTATCCGCAGAACCATTAATATTCTTTTGAACCTGTTTTCAGAAAACCATTTAGAAGCATTACTTCTTTTGTGCTGTCTTTGTTTAAAATTCTTTTAGGGGCGCCTGGGTGGCGCAGTCAGTTAAGCGTCCGACTTCAGCCAGGTCACGATCTCACGGTCCGTGAGTTCGAGCCCCGCGTCGGGCTCTGGGCTGATGGCTCGGAGCCTGGAGCCTGTTTCTGATTCTGTGTCTCCCTCTCTCTCTGCCCCTCCCCCGTTCATGCTCTGTCTCTGTCTGTCCCATAAATAAATTAAAAAAACGTTGAAAAAAAAATTAAAAAATAAAATAAAATTCTTTTAGTAGTCTGGAAGCAACATTAAATTAATTACAAAGACATTTACTAAAAGACTAGAAGCTTGATTTCCAGCTTTTCAGGTAATCAATCCCATTAGCTGTTGAAGGATTTGTAAACACGTAATAAAGATTCTTATCAATGGAAGAGCTTTCAGTTCAAGAGAGAGCTTGGTAAATATGCACCAAAATATAACAGCAGGCTCCTGGTAATGGTGAGATGGGCAATTTCTTCCAACCCTACTGCTAAGCAGAGCCTCTGAGAGTCCCTACGTCAAAGAATTAGGGGGATAGATATTGGAGTTCAGGGTCCTCCAAGAAGAGAGAGCCCAGGTAAACCCAGCCAGGTTTTGGGAGACTTCCTTCATCTGATTATGGTATCTACACAAAAACTTATGGCAAGCATCATATTAGTGGTGATATGTTAAGAGTTTTTCCTCTGAGATCTGGAAGATGACGAAAGTGCCACCATGATCAATTCTATGCAACACTGTACTAGAGGTCCTAGCCAGTGTAATGAAGCTAGAGAAAGAAATAAACACTGCAAGTATTGGGAAGAAAATAAATATATATCATTATTCATAGATTATATAATTGTATATGGGGAAAATCTCCATATGCAATAAAGGGAAAATGAGACTAAAAAAAAAAAAAATGATACTGCCAAAACAGAAGGCTTGAAATAGACCATGTATATATACAGAGTGATTTATAACAGAAGCAGCAGTGCAGAGAAATGCAGGAAGACAGACTTTTTAATAAATAGTGCTCAATGCATTGGATGCTATTTGGAGGTAAAAAACTGACTCCTTACTGCACAACATATACAAAAATTAGCTTCAGATGGATTGTGAATCTAAAAGAGAATGGCAGGAGCACCTCAGTGGCTCAGTTGGTTAAGTGTCCAACTTCAGCTCAGGTCATGATCTCATGGTTCATGGGTTCAAGCCCCACGTCGGGCTCTCTGCTATCAACGCAGAGCCCGCTTCAGACCTCCTGTCCCCTTCTCTCTCTGCCCCTTCCCCGCTTGTGCTCTTGCTCTCTCTCTAAAATAAACATTTTTAAAATTAAAAAAAGAAAAAGAAAAGAAAATGGTAAAACATATAGGCTTCAAAGTATAATATAGGGGAATAGCTTCAGGACTTTGAGGGTCAGATTCGCACTATGACAAAATCTCTTCAAGTTGCCAAAATTACTATCCATGGAAAAAAAAAACACTGGTAAATTGGACTATTTTAAATTAAGAACTCTTCACCCAAAATACCATTAAAATATTAAGTCACAAAGTGTGACTATATTTGCAATATATAAAATCACAAAGGGCTTGAGATCTGAATATATTAAAAACTTCTGAATTGATTTTAAAAAGATAAGTAACACGATAGGGAAAAAATGGCAAGATGAAAAAAGTGCTCAATTTCATTAATTTTTTAGATGTTTATTTATTTATTTATAGGGCAGGGGGAGCGGGCATAGAGAGAGAATCCCAAGTAAGCTTCATGCTGTCAGCGCAGAGCTCTTCGCGGGGCTTGATCTCACAAATTGTGAGATCACGACCTAAGCCGAGATCAAGAGCTTAACCAACTGAGCCACCCAGGTGCCCCTCAATTTCATTATATTGGGGAATGACAATTTAAAACTATAATGAGATTCAAGAATATATGCCCAACAGAATGGCTAAAAGACTTAGAATGTACGGTAGCTAGAATATGCAGCAACGGGTATGCTCATTCTCTGCTAGCGTTAAGTCTAAATTAGTAGAATCTCTTTGGGAAACTGGCATTTTCTGCTACAGTTGAACCTTTGACTATCTATGTCCCATCAGTTATACTCCTGCACATTAACTGAAATTCTTGCATATGTGCATCAAGAGACATACTCAAAGATGTTCACAGCAGCATTATTTATAATAGCCAAAACCGGAAACAACTGAAGTGGGCATCAGAGGCGGAAGTGATAAATAAATTGTAACATATTCATAAAATGAAATGAATGAATTCACTCCACAGAATGAAAACGATGGAATACCATTGTACACAAAAGCCTGAATGACCCACACTTGTGAAAAAAAGAAGCCAGACACATATTAGGTAGATAGAAGAGAGATAAATGACAGATATAGATAGAGAGAGAGATAGAAAGGTATATAATTTTATCTCCAATTATAAAAAATTCAAAAAAGACAAACCAATCTATGGAATTAGAAGTTAAGATAGAAATCATTGCAAAAAACATAGGGGTGGCTTTTAGGGAACTAGCAAAGCTTTATTTTTTGACCCTGAGTAGTGTTTACGCAGGGGATTGCTTTGTGGTATTACATTAATATTGTACATTGTATGTTTTATGCACTTTCTGATTTGTGTGTCACGCTTGAGTAAAAAATTAAACAAAAGAAGGAAAAAAGCAATAGTGGGTAAGGACGTAATAGAAAAGAATCAAAAAGGGCAATCATACTACAAATGTATCATCATTTTAGGATAATAGGTTTCCTTAAAAGGTTGTATGCTAGGTGGGGGGAAGGTTGTACACTGAATTTTTAAAGGTCTTGGGAACCTCCTAAGTGCTTTACAGAGTCTTTTGGGAGGAGGGAGGAGAAAATGATAAATCTAGATTAAAATATTCACATATTGCTGTGTGATGCAAAGCACATCTATAGAGCCTTCCAAGGTTATTCTATACATTCACAGACTGTCCAAATGTAGCATCTAGGACACATTCTAACAATCATGTATTTCTCATGACGTCATACACTACCCAGGACTCCCTCCCCTCATGACACCTATCATAGCTATTCTAATAGCTGACTGTTTTTCTCTCTACTATCAATAAGCAATTACTCAAGGCCAGAAACTCTCACATTTCCAGAGTGTTGTATCTCATTACCTAGCACAGTGCCTGGCATGTGATATGCACTTAATAACCACTTACTTGACATATAGATAAAATATAAAGTACTTTAATTTTTTCACTTTGGAGACATGAAAATTACATCTTTCAGAGCATTGTGCAAATTAATAAGGTTAATAGGGCATTCTTCTTTGAACTTGTCAGATAATAAAATTCTCACAGCCTGAAAGTTCTGCCTCTAATATTACTGTCCTGTAGATGCCTGTCTATCAGAATCCTTTTGAAGCTGCATTTAGTCAAAACATGAAGTCAAGCTTATTTTCAAATAAATATCATGTGCAAATCCTTAGGCAATGGATATATTATTAAAGGTCTTAGAACGTGAGGGGTATGCCCTCTGGATATTGTTTAGAACTGAGGACACTCAAAAAACAGGTGAAAAGCGGCAAATGTGAATCTACTTTTAAATTCCTTGCTTTTTTATGATCTTGGAATAACGTTCCTTTCTTTCACACACACACATAGAAGATATTTTTTTAATTGGTTGCTAGACCTTCTTTCACAATCACAGAGGGGGAAAAGTGATCTTAGTACTTTAAATATTCATATTGCAGCTTGGAAGAAGACTGGATAGAATAAACTTTAGGAAAAATTTCGGGCACACCGTTCTACAATATTCCGGTAATAGAGGAAATTTTTAAATCTCAAAATCTTGCAGAACGAAGAAAAAATCCATACCTCAGTCCCTGCGATAGAAAAGCTGAAGCTGGGAAGTGTGGTGAGTATAACACACATCATCATAACAGGTCTCCTAGCAAAGGACAAAAAATAAGCAAAAGCAATAATGTACAAGATCAACAGTTCCGGTTACATTTTGCTAATTTAGCAGTTCCTGTTCCATTCATCTCTCATTTTTCTAAGAAGCTACTACTTCCCCATTTCCATTTCCCAAATGTTTCAGTATGGCAAAGGGGAACACATGCAAAACCCAGAATATTTTCTAGAACAAAGGTTCACCACCTTTGTTCCAGAAAAAAATAACTAGCCAGCCATGGACTTCCAAGAGCATCACTGTGCCAGACAAATGACATTCAACATTTCCATAATTCCATAACTGGAATCCTGCCAAAAAGTTTCAGCTCTGGTGACCAACTGAAAAAAAGAACGTGACTTTTTTTTTCTCCATGTTTGTTTATTTACTTTGAGGGGACGAGGGGCAGAGAGGGAATCCCAAGTAGGCTCCAGGCTCAGTGCCACATCCAACACTGGGCTCTATCCGATGACTGCAAGATCAGGACCTGAGCCGATATCAAGAGTTGGATGCTGAACCGACTGAGCCACCCAGGTACCCCAAGAGCATGCCTTTCTTAAGTTATATTATACCCTATCATAACATTGATTTTTTTTAAAGAAGACATTTAGAGATGCTGTACCAAGAATGCCTTCATTTAAAAAAAAATTTAATGTTTATTTACTTTTGAGAGAGAGAGAGAGAGAGAGACAGAGTGTGAGCGGGAGAGGGGCAGAGAGAGAGGGAGACACAGAATCTGCAGCAGGCTCCAGGCTCTGAGCTGTCAGCACAGAGCCTGACGTGGAGCTCAAACTCACAAACTGTGAGATCATGACCTGAGCTGAAGTTGGACGCTTAACCGACTGAGCCACCTAGGCACCCCACCAAGAATGATTTCAAATGAAAACATGTGGATATTTCTTACTTGAACTAAAAAAAAAATCATGTGATATATATATGTATATATACATATATATCACATGATTTTTCACACTGGTTTTTGGACCATTGGTTTTTTTCACAGTGGTTTTTGGACCACTTCTTAAAACCTTCATGAACAATTAATCAAAGAGTTATTGAGATATAATACATATATAATACTCTATCTTATGACAGAAAGAATTAAAATGCTCACTTAGCATTATTAATTGATAGGAAGACAAAAGATGCTCAAAGGTTTTCTATGATGAAATATTTACATTTCCGTTCCTTAAATACACATTTTACTAATTACACTTATATGATAATGTGTTTCTAAGTACAAAAAGTGCTGAACTCTTTCAAATAACTAACGATTTCTCCTTGGTCCTGCCATGCTTCTGTCAATCCCATCCTGGTCTTAGATGTTCTAGGTATAGACATAAGTTAGACGGCAGGATAGACCCGTCTTCTAGCCAGACTCAGTACGACCTGCTAAAACCAGAGGTACAATGGGGTTTTTGAGAGGTAGCTTTGCCTCCTTTTCTGAGCCCAGATCCAGGTTCCTGCAGCACCTGGCTCTGGCTGGAGACTTCATGGAGCCCTCTTCTTCTCAGCTTGTGCTCTAAAAGGTGAGAGTGCCCCAGGGATTACTCCTGCACCTCCTCTTTATGCCTAATTGTCTCAAGCAATCCCATGGCTTTAATTTTATTTTAATGTTTATTTTCATTTGAGAGAGAGAGAGAGAGAGAGAGAGAGAGAGAGAAAGAGTGGGGAAGGGGCAGAAAGAGAGAAGGTGACACACAATGCAAAGCAGGCTTCAGGCTCTCAGCTGTCAGCACAGAGCCCAACACAGGGCTTGAACTTATGAACTGTGAGATCATGACCTGAGCCGAAATCAGACACTTAACTGACTGAGCCACCCAGGCGCCCCTCCCATGGCTCTAAATATCAACCACTTACCCAGGACTTCCATATATATACATAGACATAGATATAGACATAGACATAGACATTTTTTTTTCTGAGCTCTGGGCTTGTATGCCCAACTCTGGCACCTCCACTTGGGTGTCTAATGGGCAACCCAGATTTAACATGCCTGAACAAAGACCCCACATCCCTGTTCCAATCATCAAATGCTCTCTGGTTTACTGCAAGTAGAATTACTGAAAGTACGTGTCACATCCATCCTTCGCTAACATCATAGCTCATTTGCCATCATGTCTCATCTCCAAGAACTATCCAGTTTCCTGTTAATATTTCTATTCTTGCCTAGCAACGTTTTCTCCATAGAGCCAACTGTTATATTTTTAAAATGTAAAACACATCTTATCACTGCCCTGCTCAAAAATCTCCAACAGTAAGGGGTGGGGTGAATGAGGAGTTAGTGTTGAGTGGAGACAAGAATGAAGACGAAAAGGTTCTGTGGACGGATGGTGGTGATGGCACAACAGTGTGAATGAGTTTAATGCCACTGATACGTACACTTAAAAGGTTAAGTTGGTAAATTGTGCTACATGTATTTCACACAAAATACACACATCTGTGCATCTTACATATTTTTTAAAAATCTCCAGTGGGTAAGCAATGTAACTGGAACAAATTTGAAACCTATTACCCGAGCCTACATGTTCTACATGACGTGGTTTCTCTTCTTTCTCCTAGTCTCTTTCTCACTTAGAATGACTTTCCTCTCCCTGGAAACCCACTTAACTCCAGCCATACTGGCTTTCTGGTTGTGTCATGATCACATCAAGCTTGCCTCATCTTCAAGTTGTACACTGTCTATACCTTCTGCCAGATGCCCCCCATTCCTGGATCTTCCATGTTGGAGCCCTGTTGTCATTCCAAATTATATATATCTGCGGCCTTATGACTACCTGAAGTTCTGCTGATTATTTCTTGTTTATCGTTTCACACATTCCTCTTTGCTGATCTTCAAAGTAAGTTCCGTGGAGGCAGGAAATTTATCTGAATGGTTTCACTACATTATCTCCACTAGCTAAAACCACGTTTTTTGAGCCTTTTTTTGTGCAGTGAAATTTCTGAGAATCTGGTAAATCCTACGGACCTTTTTCAAAACAGATTTCTTTTTAAACAAAAACGGAGCAATTATGTTGAAATACAGTATTCCAAATTCTTTTAAAAATTTTATACAGGAATATACGTGCTCATCTATGAACACATTGTCTCCTTATTTTCTTTGGAACGCTCAAGAGCTAGTGGAAACTGAAATCATTCATAATGTCAAGGTAGCGAAGATCATTAGCCACATTAAGAAGTATCTGCAATGGGGCGCCTGGGTGGCGCAGTCGGTTAAGCGTCCGACTTCAGCCAGGTCACGATCTCGCGGTCCGTGAGTTCGAGCCCCACGTCGGGCTCTGGGCTGATGGCTCAGAGCCTGGAGCCTGGAGCCTGTTTCCGATTCTGTGTCTCCCTCTCTCTCTGCCCCTCGCCCGTTCATGCTCTGTCTCTCTCTGTCCCAAAAATAAATAAACGTTGAAAAAAAAATTAAAAAAAAAATAAAATAAAAAAAGAAAGAAGTATCTGCAACAATTGTAATGTGGTATGAAAAGATCTAACATATATGATATGAAAAGATCTACTTAATGAAGTTATTAGGTTCTGGTACTTGTAGTGTGCTTTGTTACCAACATGCAAAATGGAAAGAAATGCTAGTTTTCAGTTAGAGGCTACAGGGCAAATGAAGATGCAACCTGTTTCTAATCCAAGTTCTGCATCTTATGTATCCAGAAATAATGATAATCTGTATTTTAAAATCTTGATTTACTGCTAACATAGATTTATAATAATTTATTAATAAGTGTTGTGGGTTAAATTATGTTCCTCCCCAAAGATTATGTTCAAGTTTCAACTCCTGGTGCCTTACAGTGTAACCTTATCTGGAAATACGGTCTTTCCAGAGCTAGTAAGTTAAAATGAGGTCATTAAGGTGGGCCCTAATCCAACACGACTGGTGTCCTTATTAAAAGGGAAAATTTGGAGAATGTACAGAGGGAGGATTATGTGAAGAAACGCAGGAAGACACCATGTGACGATGAAGGCAGAGATCAATCAGGGTGACGCATCTGTAAGCCAAGGAATGCCAGAGTGCTGGTGAACCACCAGCCCTCAGAAGGAACCAACAGACACTTTGATCTCAAGACGACTAGCCTCCAGAACAGGGACACCACACATTTGTCACCCAGTACTTTGTTATGGCTGTGCTACAAAACTAATACAGAGTTTGCTCTACAGGTAGGGGGTACTACTGGTAACAAATACCTAAAAATGTGGAAGTGGCTTTGGAACAGGGTAATGGGTAATCTGGAAGAGTCTGAAGACACATGATAGAAACAGGCTGGACGGCCTAGAAGAGACTGTTAGAAAAATATGGGCACTACAGGAGATTCTGGTGAAAGCTAGGAGAGAAAAAGAGGAGAGATGTAGAAAAGCCTCTAACAATCTTAGAGAATATGCACATTGTCCCAAACAGAAATGCTACAAACGTGAATGTTCAAGGTGTTTCTGGTGAAGTCTCAGGCAGAAAGGAGGACCATGTTGTTGGCAACTGGAGGAAAGGTGATCCTTTCTAGAAAGTGGCAGAGGGGCGCCTGGGTGGCTCAGTCGGTTGAGCGGCCAGCTTCGGCTCAGGTCATGATCTCGCGGTCCGTGAGTTCGAGCCCCGCGTCGGGCTCTGGGCTGATGGCTCAGAGCCTGGAGCCTGTTTCCGATTCTGTGTCTCCCTCTCTCTCTGACCTTCCCCCATTCATGCTCTGTCTCTCTCTGTCTCAAAAATAAATAAACGTTATAAAAAAAAATTAAAAAAAAAAAAAGAAAGTGGCAGAACCTTGGCTGAACTGTGTTCTGCTGGGTAGAAAATAGAACCCACAGTCGACGAACTCAGATATTTAGCTGAGATTTCTAAGCAAAACACTGAAGGCACTGCTGATGATAGCAAAATACAAGAGGAGAGGAATAAATTGACGAAGGAATTGTTAAGCAAAAAGGGACCAGAACTTAGTAAAATATAAGAGGAGAGAGAGAGATAAATTGAAGAAGGAATCGTTAAGCAAAAAGGAACCAGAACTTGAAGATTTGGA